TGTCCCTGCTGAGGGAGGTACAGGAACCCTGCACCCCACATCCCAGAGCTGCTGCTGCTCTCAGACAGGACCCACACCTGCACAGTGCCACAGCTGTTGCTGCTTCGAGCCTTGGATAGCTCCAGCCTTCCTTGCTGCGGTGATGGGTGATGTCTTCCTCCTGCCCTGGGGCTGGGAGTCCTCCTCTGGCACCATGACCAGGTCCATATGGCTCGATCCTGGCTTCTTCCAGGACCAGCTTTGAGGTTTGGATGTGTTCAAACGCATCCCTGCCTGGATCCGAGCAGTACGAATGCACACGTGCACCAACACCTATTCCTGACTGGGGTTTGTGCTCTGTGTTTCCATTCATCTTCTGCTTGGCTTCCCTCAGCCTTCATCCCAGCCTCTTCTTGGTGGCCGGCGTAAGTATAAATGAAGTTCTTGGGCCTGGGTTAATGCCATAGGAGAAAAAGAAACAAACCTTTTGCCTTTGGCTCCTGATACAAACCACAAGTGTGGTCGCTGCCCGGGGCATGCCCAGGGCAAGGAGCGGCTGCTCTGGGGGGTAAGGAAAGAGGAAGCAGCTCAGGAACGTTCCCGTTATGGCTAAACCGGGGATGAGGGCTCCGTGCCGGGGCAGGGGGGGCCTCGGCAGCGCTGGGAGCGCCTGGACCGGACCCCAAGGTCTCGCCCAGCCCGTCCGGGCGGGACGAAGCACGAGCTCCCTCTTGTGGACGCAGCCCCGCACTGCTGCCTTGCCCGCGGCGCGCCCCGCTCAGCAGGGAGCCCCCGTCCTCGGGGGCCTCCTTTCAGGCGCAGGGTGGCAGCGGGTCCGGGGGTGCAGAACGTTCGTGGATGGGGAGGAGAGGTCCTGCCCCCCCCGAGGAAGCCGGGGTGAGAGGGGGGTAGAGGCTCTGTGGTGCCCGGGCAGGGATGAGCAGAGGGACCCGATGGGCACGTGCGGGCTCCTCATCCCCCCCCAGCCCAGGGCAGAGGGTTCCCCAGTGAGCCCGGAAAGGCTGAGAAATGGATGTTTCACCGGGTCGTTGGGGAGGGAAACTGCCCAAACCGCGGCCTGGCTTGGGCTGGAGCCGATGGAAAGACGCTGTTGCTGCCTCGGTGCCTCTCGCGGAGGATGGTGCGCCGAGCCAGGCTTCTCACGTTAAACACTTCCCAAAGGCACGGAAAGGGTTCATTTGACTCTTGGAACATCTTCTGGCTTTGTATTTCCTGTATTTTTCAGGCAGGAAGGCCCAGGGGGAGTGGGACATCACCGGGATCCTCCAGCTCGGCGTCGACAGGTGGGAAAACCCCGGGATACTGAATCCTTTGGGACAGCTGGTGTGGGAACATCACCCCGCACAGAAGGCTGAGTGTGGAACGCCCCTGGGCAATGGGGAGGGAGAGCACGTCCTGTCCTGCCCCATGGCCTGTGCTCACACAGGAGGCTGCTCCCATGGGGATGGAGCTGACCTGGGCTCTGCCCCAGGCCCCTGCTGCCCCATCCTTCAGAGCCTGGGAGGAGACCTCAGGAGATCCCTGATCCCTCTCTCCACCCCCAGCAGGTCCTTGCTGAGGACTCGGCCTCCCCAAATGCTCTGCTCCAAACCTGAGCACCTGCTGAGCAGCTTTCCTGACCCTGAAGGCTGTGACTCCTCTTGCCTTCACTTCCAGCACATCCTCCCATCTCTTCTGCCGGTTGAGCAATACAAGCAGGCTTGTCCAATGGGCAGGTGGGACAGGTGAGTGCTCTGGTCCATCAACATTCCTGAAGCAATCCTAGACTGAGGATGTCTTCCCTTTCTCTGAGTTAACCATAACTTTGAACCATGGAATCAACTCCCCTGGAAAAGCCCTTCAAGCTCATCCAGTCCAACCCTTACCCCAGCCCTGCCAAGGCCACCCCTAACCCATGGCACTGAGGCCTCGTCCCCACGCTGTGTGAACACCTGCAGGGACGGTGACTGCAGCCCTGCCCTGGGCAGCCTGTTCCAATGTCTGAGCACCCTCTGGGGCAGGAATTGTTCCTCAGCTCCATCTAAACCTGCCCTGGTGCAGCTTGAGGCCGTTTCCTCTTGTCCCATCCCTTGTTCCTTGGGAGCAGAGCCCAGCCCCTCCTGGCTCCATCCTCCTCTCAGGCACTTGTAGGGAGCCATCAGGTCCCCCCTGAGCCTTCTCCAGACTGAACCCCCCAGGTCCCTCAGCCCTTCCCCATCACCCCTGTGCTCCAGGCCCTGCACCGGCTCCATTCCCTTCTCTGGCCCCACTCCAGCACCTCAATGTCTCTCTTGCAGTGAGGGGCCCAGAGCTGAACACAGGATTCGAGGTGCGGCCTCACCAGTGCCCAGCGCAGGGGCACAATCCCTTCCCTGGCCCTGCTGCTGCACTGGTGCTGGTACAGGCCAGGATGCTGGGGGCTCCCTGGCTGCCTGGGCACAAACTGCTCATGGTCAGCTCCATCAATCAGCAGCCTCCCTTGGGCTTGGCCATCCAGCCACTTTCCAACCCTTTTATTATCCTTTATGGCAGTGGCCAGATTTAGTTCCAGCTGTGCCTTCACCTTTCTCCCTATATCACCTAAACACCCCGTACTGCTCATGGGGTGACTGTCCCTTCTTCCATACGTCACAGATTCTCTTTTCACCTGAGTTCCAGCACTATCTCCCTGTTCAGCCAGGCTGCTCTCTTCCCTGGACATAGGCACTGCACATGCCTGCACCTTAAGTATTCCATTCTTGAAGAGCATCCACCCTTCCTGGACCCCTTTGTCCTTCAGTAATGTTTCCCAAGGAATTCTGCCAACCAACATCCTGAACAGGCCAAAGTCAGCCCTCTGGAACTCTTAAGGTGGAGGTTTTGCTGACAGCTTGGCTCAGTGCACGCCACTTATCACAGCACACTCGGTTGCAGGCTGTGGTTTAGAGACTTCAAGATGTTTATAGGACCTAGTCCATGAACATCTTAAAGTCGCTGAACTTGAAGACGTTGAACACATGAATGTGTTTGACTCAAACCTGAACACGTTTAACAGTGTTTTTCAACTGCATCTCAGACTCACTTCTGCAATGTCTCTGGATCATCCCACCACAGACACACCAGGAATCCCCCCACAGACAGTGAGTGAACGTCCTGGGAACCCTTTTTTAGGCAGAAGAAAGAATCTGGAAAATGACATTAATGGGTACGTGGAACTTGCAAGGGGTTTGGGCAGGGTGCCCACCACTGCCTTTGAAGGGGTCACTGACCCCAGGTTTACAGAACAAAGTGAAGCCAAAGCTGTGAGAAGAAAAAGCCTTCAGAAACAGGAGACTCCAGTCAGCTCGCTCAGGAATCTTCCAGGAGAAACTGGTGCTGTGAAAGAAACGCGTCTGCTCCTGCAAGGACTGAGCTGAGCTGGGAACGGGGCTGATGCCAGATGGTGAAATCAAACAGCAAACAAGAGCGTCAAGACAAAAGGGTTTTAATAATGAAGGTGTTGCTGGTAACATAGGTAAGGAAATGTGCTTGCTTACAAGATTGAAGCTGACAGCATCCCTTTAAATAAGGAAATAGGTTTGCCTAGAGGAGGAAGTTACCTGGACAGGCCTGTACAGTGCCGCAGTGCAGCAGCTAACACTACTCTGGTTCAGGTGCTGGTGATACTCTGCAGGGACTGGCTTGGGAAAATCTCTCACTTAGAAAAAGGAATTCTTTTACAAAATGCACCCTGTGACCCCCTACCCCGGCAGTGCACTGTGACCGTTTGTACAATAGAAAAGTGGTGCTTTAAACAGCGACTTGAGAGCTACTGCCACGTGCTTTATACAGCATGCAACAACGCCACGAGCTGGAGGCGCAGCAGGGGCTGCACAGCCTCCTCGACAGCTCCAGCATCCCTGGGGGGAGCATCCCATGGGAACCATGGCCGGTTTCCCCCCGGCTGCTGCACCTCCGATGTGCTGTCTTTCCAGTAACACAAATATTAAATACGCTCAGTCTGTAAATAGTTTAACAATCTTTGTCAGCAACAATATTTACTTTGGCAAAACCAGAACTGCAAAGAAGTAGACGTGTCCGTCAGACAAGTCCGCAGCAAGGTCTTTGGTGGAAGCCGTGAAGCAAAGGCTCCTTCTCTCCAGAGCCTGAGGAAATATATTGCACAGAGACTCATAGGAGAAATGCTGGTGACTTCAAATGGGAGGCATCACTGCAGGAGAGCATCCGTCTCTGCCAGCTTCAGGAGAACTAGCTCCTCCAGGCTCAGTGATTCACAGCCGTTCTCCGGGTGGCCTTGCTCTGGGCTGTGAGCAGTGATGCTGGAGTAAACTTGGGAACCAGGGGATGACTGATGGGGATCGAGGAGGGACGGGAAGAATGGAGGGAGTGGGAATGGGAGATGGCTGAGGAGTGGAGGCAACAACAGCAGATGCTTGCACAGAACTGCAGCCCCGCGAGGACCTGCTCAACCCTGCCCCATGTGCCGGCCGCTGAGTGTCCATTTCTGGCTCTCCCTGCTCCCAGGTCATGCAAGGTGGTGGAAATCCATCCTGACTTCTGGCTGTGCAAAGGTCAGCCCCTCCAAAGCCTGGCTGTATTCTCTGTACGACTTGCTCCTACCTTGGACCAAAACACATTACACATCTCTTCATCTGTACCGTGCTAGCTGGGGTGCAGCAGCTTCACTGGGACTCCACATCCCTTTGGTACCTGCCTGTGCAGCCTGAGCAGCTGCCTCCAACATCCAGCGCTCACAGGCTCCAGCCTGATCCACTTCAGACTGCAGCCAGGATGGCTCCTGGGCTTTCAGCCCCTGAGGCACCATGAGGACATGACAAGGTGATACCATGAATACGGGGGTCTCCACCTCTCATCCACATGGGGCAGAGCTGTGCAGGGACTGGGCAACACAGCGGTGGAGGCAGGAAGCTCGGCGAGCCTGGCTGTATGGAGAAGTGTGCTTGTCACCCTGGCTGGGCAGAGCCTCCCTGATCCCACATCCCTGCCTGGGCATGGCCAAGATGAGCCCAGCCTGCGAGGCGGGCAGGAGGAGAGGGCAGCAACAGGCTATCCTCTCCAAGATTTCCTGTTGCCACCAAGGTGAGGTCTCCTCATCACAGAGTTTTGTCATGAGCTGCTCCAGTTCTCACAAGAGTGGCTGCTAAAACTGGGGAGGGGGAAAGAGAAAAGAAAGAGAACCAAAGTTCTTTTCAATCTAAAGAAGCATTAAAGGCACTGCTGTCCTCTGTGGGGACGTGTCGATGGAGGAAAACCAAGCTACCAGAGCAACTGTGCTGTCGATTGGCCATAACTGGAAATTCAGTTTATACGCTGGGAAAATGACTCCAGTTTCCCCTGGATGTGGCACCTTCGCCCTGCGCGTTCTCCGGAATGACAGGAACACTGTGCTGGCTGCTGCGTCCTGCCTCCACCACCCTCCCTCTCACCACTGCTGCAGGTGCAGGTCCATGCTGGTGTTTAGGTTGAGATCGGTAACGTCTAGGAAATCAATGTTGAAGATGCTGGGAGCCACTGGGGTGAGCGAGCCAAAGCCGGTGGCGGAGCTGGGGGGGGTCAGGTCCAGCCACTCCATCGTTTCCCATGGAGACTCAGTGAAGCTCATCTGTAAACCGGCGCCGTCGGCAGGGGAAGGGGAGAGCTGGGTGTCCATGGGCGAGAGGGGAGGCTGTAAGATCTCCTGAGAGGGGAGCAGTTCATCGGCGGCCTTGCCGGGGAACCCCTCCATCATCCCTTCAAAGTGGGACTCCTCTGCCCCCATCTTCAGCAGGGCGATTTCACTGACCCTGCCCAGGGGGCTGTGGGCGCTCAGCAGCACCTCGAGGTGAGCGTCACCGCTGCCCGGGCAGTGCTCGAAGGGGAGCTGGGCTGAGGAGACCTGCTCAAACGGGGCCGATGCCTTGGGGAGCGCGGTGCTGGAGTTCCCTGTAGACACCGTTATCTGAGGTACTTTCTGGAGGCAGGACTGATCTTCCTTGGCATTGGCTGGCATTTCTGTCAACAGATGGGAGGGGTTTGAGGTGCTCTGGCAGTGCTCACCGCTGCTGGGCACAGGGGCATCACCTCAGCCTACAGAGACCCGCGTCCCACTCAACCCCCTTGGCACTGCTCACCCACCCTCCTTGTGGGAAGCCTTGCAGGTTCCTGCTTTCTGACCTTGATTCCCTGGCTTTGGACACTGTCCCTAGGGCAAGAGCACTGGCAGCTGTCCCCACGGGCATGGGGAAGGGCAGAGGCAACCACTCTGCACAGGGGAGGGCACTGGCAGTGCTCTATGCAGGAGACGGCACTGGCAGCACTGGGAGTGGTGGAGGGCAGGAGGCTCTGCGTGGGGAGGGTGCTGGCAGTGCTGTGCACAGGCTGTTGTCTTCTGTCCCTTCTCTCTGCATAGGTGGTGACCAAGCCCGGACCACCCACCAGGTCCTCAGGAGCAGGCTCCAGGAGGGCCAATGTGCTTTTGCATTCAATCTCAGTGGCTGCTGGCACAGGGAGGGAAACTGAAAGCTGCATTCAACCCAGGCAGCTCTACTGGAGTGCACAGAAAGCACTGAGCCCCATGGGGTGCCACTGGCTCAGAGGGGAAGGCCTGGAGGGGAACAGGGAAGCAGTGCCTACCTCCGCTCTCGATCAGCACGTCCAGGAGCTCGTCCATCTGCTGACTTCGTGTCATCTGCTGCAGCAAACAACAAAGAGAGTAGAGGGCATTAGGAGGAGAGTCCCTCCAGCCACAAGCCAGGAAGGTGGCTCTAGACCCCACAAACAGCTTTCTCCCATGCAGGAGAGGTGCCACACCAGCATGGGGCTGGCAGCGGCGTTCAGGTGAGCACTGCAGGGACATGGGACAGGCACAGTAGATCTGGGGAGCACAGCACCAGGTTCCCCCCACCCTGCTCAGTGGCCACCACGCACTGCTCCTTCCCAGGGCTGTCACGACACAGGGACTTTATGGACCCAGCATCTTGCACTGGCATGTGCCTCCTAGCACTCCCTGCAGCCTAGGGGGCAGGGCATCATCTTCCTCCTCTTCCTGACCTGGAAGGACTTCGTGCACACCTCCCTGCCAGCACCAGCCCATGTTAATCACTGCCAACAGCACTGCTCCGCTGTCCTGAAGGCACCATCGTAACCAGCACTGAGGCCAAAGACAGGTTGTCACAAGAAGTAAGGGGCTCACGGGTGATGGAGACAGTCCTCCCCATGGGAACAGTGCTCCAGGGTGAGCCGAAGGGAGGCAGATGCCATGGAGCACAGAACTTTGCTAACGGGCTAAAGAGGGAAGGGGAGGTTTCCTGATGACTTGGGAATGCGCAAGAGTCTGTTTCTCATGTCAGGCTGAGCACCCAAAGAAAAGTACAGTGAAGTCCTGTAGGGGGATGTCAGGGCCCCAGGGCAGCTGGAGCAGGACAGAAGATGCTGTCCCATCCAGTCGGGTGTCTGACTGCCTTATGGCAGTCATTCAGCACCTAAGTCTTCAAGCAAAGCCTGTTCCTTATGGAACAAGCCTGTTCTACCCAGAGACCCTCTAACGGGTTATACCTCCTGAGGATGAGTTACATCAGCCTCAAAAGAACTCCCTGCACAGCCCTAGCCTTATAGAAAATAAAAACCATGCAGTTACCTGCTTTACTGCATCCTCATAGGGTGGAGGCTGCTTTACCTCTGAGAGGGCTGGGCTTGACTTACAAAAAGTTGGGGATGGAATAGAAAACTTTTGACCTGCCTGCGTAGGCATCTGCATGGGGAAATACAGGGAAATGGAGTCAGTGCAAAGGGAGGCCCAGCTCTCTTTCACCCCTGGTGAGGCCGGGCTGGTGCCAGGGAAACACAGGTGTGTGGGTCAAATCAGCTCAAAGTGCTTGGCTTCCAGGCAGGAGGGAGGGAGATAAAGCAGCTCCATCAGACTAGCTCTGAGAGCCAGGGCCAGGCTGACCTCTGCTCACTGCTGGAGCACAGGCATGATACTGCAGAGCATCCTGGTGCAAGGGGAAGAGAGAAACGAGGATGAACTGGGGCTGGGATCAGCAGCACCTTGTGATGCTTTCATGTGTTGTCATCGTGTGCCCTCTCCAAGCTTTTGTCCCTGTGCAGAGGGCAGAATGAGGAGTGGTGGTTGCTGAAGGGACAACTCTGCTGTGCTGGTTGCCTGGTGGGGAGGCACACACTCCAGCTGACTGCAGACTCCAATTGCAAACCCTGCTTTATCTTCCCAAGAAAAAGGTTCCCATATGACCAGGGAAACTGCCCTCCTTCAACCCAGTGGTCAAAATCCCTCGCTCCTTGCTAGGAGCTGCAATGGCTTGGGAAGATGCTGGGGGCTTAGCTGGATGTAGGAATATAGCCAGGACTCTCCCAGGGGCTGAGGGATCTGTGCCGGTGCTTCCCTGCTGTGGATAGAGCTGTGCCAGGGCTCCATGGGATGGGGGGAGCTGTGCCAGGATTCTCCCAGGGGCACCACAAGCTGTGCCAGGGCCTCCTGAGGGGAGAGGCAGCTGGCTTAGGGCTCATTTAGGGCAGAAGCAGCTGTGCCAATGTTCCCCCAGGGCAGAGGGAGCTGTGCCAGGGCTCCCCACGGCACAGAGCTCTGCCGGGGCTCTGTGGGGCAGAGGATTTGCCAGTGCTCACCCGGGGCAGAGCGATTGGTGCTGGGGTCCCCTGGGGAAGAGGGAAGCTGTGCTAGGGCTCCCCCAGGGCAGAAGGAGCTGTGCCAGGGCTCCATGGGGCATGGGAGCTGTGCTGTGGTCCCCCAGGTGGCAGTAGGATTCCCCAGAAGATGCCCTGTAAAGGACCCTGTGGTGCCCTCAGCTTCCAACCCGTTGTCAATGTGGGATGCTCTCAGCCTTTCCAGGCACCACTACAGCCCCCTGGGTGCCAGCGGTCCTGGGCTCCTCCGGAAGGACTCAAACTGGGATGCTGGACTGGCTGCCCACAGAGCCCAGCGCGTTCACTGCTGCGATGGGCTGCATCCACTTACCGGTGCTGTGCGAAGGCAACTGCTGGCCTGCGGGGACCCACTGCGCCCTTCTGAGCTGGGGGACACCGAGAGGAGATAGTGGCTGTTGGGAGAGGGTGGCAGGCTGATGTGCTGGGGGCTCTTTGCAGCCCCGAGTGGGGAGTGCTGGGGGGAGCACTGCGGGCTCAGGAATGTCGAGGAGGTGATGGTGCTTTGCCCTGCAGGCTCCAAGCAGTGGCTATTTACAATGTGAGGCAGCTGTGGCACCCCACAGTTACTCAACTTATCCGAGCTGTTGGCTTGGCCTTTCAAGGCAGTTTGTTTGGATGCAAACGGACAGCTGGACACTGTGTTTTCTTGCTTGATGGGGACACCAAAGAAATGAGGAGCGGGCTGCTGCTTCTCCTCAAGGCCATTATTTCTCTTTCGCTTCTGGAGCTGCATCCGTAGCTCTTCCACCTGCCTCTGCTCTTGCTGCAGCTTCCACGTTAGTTCATTGATGACCTTCTGCTTCTCCACCAGCATTTTGTCTTTCTCTGTGTCGATCCCTTCCAGCTCCAGCTGGATGCTCCCTCCATTCATGCTGCTCATGAGGCTTTCTTCAGCACTGCCATGAACTGGAGAAGGCTGGAGACCAAACTGTGGAGAAGACATGGGCCCATCGTTGAACGTGTCTGGCAATGAGCCACTCACAGAGAGGTCAGAGGAGGCTGGAGAGATGGGTGGTGTGGAGCTGGTGCTGCCAAAGTGGTAGAAGCCATTGGATAACATGCTGGTGGAGGACTGCGACTGGTAACTAGACAGGGTGCTGGTTGGAGTGACGGGGAAGGTGACGGTGGTGATCTCGCTGAAGCTGGGCACTGCGTTGCTGCCGCACTCCTGGAAGGGCCGCAGCCGTTCCATCAGTGCTGTTTTGGTACCTGACACGGGAAGGCCTCGTATTCGGAGCTGCTGCCTCAGTTCTGACACCTGGGAGGAAGATGATCCTTTTAGAAACCCAGCATTTCTAATAGGGAGCCTCAGATCACGGGCTCCCAGCTTCCTGCTTTAAAGCTCTGACCCCCAGGGGCTCACTGTCTCACCTGCAGTCCCCAGAATCACTCTGTGCAACCCTGACCACCCCACGTCCTGCAGGATCTCGACCTCTCCTAACAGGAAAACCTTTCCTCCTTCAGTAACTGAGACTCCTCTCCATGAACCAGCAGTGGTCCTTGAGCCATGGAGGTAAACCAAGACTCTCTTCCTAGCAGTAGGTTTCTAAATGAACAGAGGACTTTCACACTAAAGGAACTAGCTGATGGCATCTTTTAGCTCAGGGAATGTGACCATATACCTCAGAGTCAGATATCCCACGTTCAGGCATCTGCACACAGTTCAGATGTCTGAGCTGGGGCATCACTACGGCCAAACTGATGCTCTTTCTACCTCACCTTATTTCTTCCTCTAATTATGAATATTTCCCCCAGGTCTCTAGTTCTAAAGGGACTTGGCCTTCCCCACGGTTGAATACAAAAGTATAAAAGAATAAAAGTATAAAAGAATTGTTGATATGAGTGATTCTCATTCATGCCCTGCCTGTCACGCCTACATGAGAGATTTAGGTGCTCACAGTGCTTGTAGCTGCAGACTCCAGGAGATACCTGCTTGTGCAGAGAGCTGAGCTGGCCTGGTTGCAGTGACCACTGAGAAGCTGAGTCACTAAGAGGAGGCCATGCTGACATCCCAGCTTCTGGCTGGTCTGCCAGCAGCATCCATGATGGCCACCATAAACCCACAGAAGGCATGGAGCTGTGAGCTGCAGGAGCAGCAGCACTGATTGTCCTTCACTCCTTGACCTGATGGCCTGGCCTGCAGCCCTCCTGAGTTATACCTAAGGTTTGCTGATGTATTCCCTGGAGCAAGGCACCCACATGGCCCTGCAGAGCAGCAAACCAGGTTTTCAGTTGCAATCACAGTAACAGATTCACGACCAATGTGATGTACTCCTGGGTTTGCTCACAGCGTGGTGCCTCTGGTTTGCTGATCAGCCTGGGGCACTACAATGCACAATCTGAGGACTGCAAGGCACATACAGGGGAGGAGATTCTGCTCCTTTGCACAAACTTTGCACTCACTTTCAGATCATCCAGGTTTGACGGCAGAGGGCCTGGCTTGATTGATGAGACACAAGTCTGGCCTGAAAAGGTGGTTTTCACAGGAGAAAGAGGGCTGGTGTTGACAGCAGTTGATGAAGAATTTGAACTTTTGACCATTTGCTCATTTGATTGCCTGGAATAACAAAGGAGATTTGGGGTAACTTGTCTATCCCCCTGGGGTCTCTGTGCCCACTGTACCATCTCTCTGCTCCTTTGGGGCTGCCATCTCCCATATGAGACCTGATGGGCTGCCAACCCCAAAGAGAACCAGGTTGGGCTGTAAGGAGATTTCTGCTGGCCAAGCCAGTGCACAAAGCCATGCTGGCTTTGCAGGAGGCTGTGCTGTTTCCAAGCTTTTATGTTCCCAAGCTTGCAATATCTGAAGGGAACTACAAGGATGCTGGAGAGGAACTCTTCATCAGGGACTGGAGTGATAGGACAAGGGGTGATGGGTTCAAACTGAAACAGGGGAAGTTCAGGTTGGATCTAAGGCAGAAGTTCTTCCCTGTGAGGGTGCTGAGGCACTGGCACAGGGTGCCCAGAGAAGCTGTGGCTGCCCCATCCCTGGCCGTGTTCAAGGCCAGGTTGGACACAGGGGCTTGGAGCAAGCTGCTCTAGTGGAAGGGGTCCCTGCCCAGGAACTGGATGAGCTTTAAGCTCCCTTCCAACCTAAACCAGTCTGGGATTCTATGATTCTGTTTCACTTGCATGCATATATCCCCCTTGCACTGGCACAAATGGGTATAGAGGGAACAACCTGGAGAGAGACAGGACTAAACCCTGCTATTGACATATTGCTACTCACTTTACTTGGCCTTGGTGCATCCCTGGGTAGCTGAAATGCTGCTGTTGCTGCTGCTGCTGCTGGCTGAGGATCTGGAGCTGCAGAAAGAGCTGCTGTTGCTGGAGGAGTCTGGCATATGCAGAATCCATGGGTGGAGGGGACTTCTCTGCCTTCTGGTCTGGAGGGATGTACTGGTGATACTTCAGCTTCTTCACCTTGGGCTTGGTGTCCTTGGGCTTTTTGTGACGGTTCTTGCTGTCACTCGCTGATTTGGACTGTTGGTCCAAGAAGGAAAGGAATTAGCTGGGAGAAGAGCTCTGCCACCCCTGTGGGGACTCAAAAGCCTGGGGCAGAGCAAGGGCAGCTCCTGCAAGCACCCTGACACCTCCAACTCAAAGAGCTGCTCAGCCTGCATGTAGAGGACTCCCTCAGGCCCCTGCACCATCTCAGTTGCGTGGGAGAGCACATGAGATGGAGAATGACTCTCCTTAACTGGAAGACAAGAGGAAACGGCCTCAAGCTGCACCAGGGCAGGTTCAGATGGAGCTGAGGAACAATTCCTTCCCCAGAGGGTGCTCAGGTATTGGAACAGGCTGCCCAGGGCAGGGCTGCAGTCACCATCCCTGCAAGTGTTCACACAGCGTGGGGATGAGGCCTCAGTGCCATGGGTCAGTGGTGGCTTTGGCAGGGCTGGGAGAATGGTTGGACTGGACAAACTTAAAGGTCTTTTCCAATCCAGTTGTTCTATGAGTCTGCGATTCCATGATTCTATGAAGGAGTTTCAGTATTGCCTTGTATTTCCTTCTGCTCCTAGCCCCAGGGGACATCGGCAGTGCAGAACCTGAGCACTCGCCTCTAGCAAGGTACGATGCTATACCTTGTACTGTTATGAAATGAATCAAATCACAGCCTGGGACAAGGTTTGTCTCCTGGCATTATCCCAAGCCTTTAGGCCAACCACCAGAGCTCCCACACACGTGGGGTGCAGCACGTGGGTTTGAGCACAGCCACGTTCCCCGTGCTTGATCCCAGTCCCGGGCAGCCTGGAGGCTCAGGACCTACCTTCACGGCGGAGGGCACCGGGAGCGTGGGGCTCTCCTGCCCCGCCGGCTGCTTGGGGCTGTCACACTGGATGCCCTGCACCACTGCGGGGTCCAGTGCGTGGCCATCGGCGCTGCAGGGCTGGTCCTGCGAGGGAGGGGGTTGCTGTGTGATGGGAGCCAGGGAGTGCGGCCAGAGCCAGGGCTGCCTGGGACCCCATTTCCCACAGCCCGTGCTGTCCCCCGTCCATCCCACCCCAACATATCTATCCCAGCCCAATATCCCCGCTCTCCCAGGCCATCCCAGCCCTTTCCCAGGCCTCTGTCTCCCCAGCGCATCCCAGTCCACCCTAATCACCTCAGCCCCATATCCTCACCCCACCTCCAGTGCACCCCGTCACTGTCACCCAGATTAGCCCAGGTCGCCTCTCACCAGCCGCAGTCCTTCAGGTGTGCCCCTCCATCCACTTCAGGTCCTCCCAGCCTCCCCAGTCCATCCCAGTCCCCCCAGTCTGCCCCAGCTCATCCCAATCCCACTGTCTGCCCCACTTCACCCCAGTCCATCCCAATCCCCCCAGTCTCCCCCAGCTCACCCCAGTCCATCCCAGTGCCCCCTGTCTGCCCCAGCTCATCCCAATCCCCCCAGTCTCCCCCAGCTCACCCCAGTTCATCCCAGTCCCCCGTCAGCCCCAGCTCACACCAGTCCATCCCAGTCCCCCCAATCCTCCCAGTCTCCCCCAGTCCATCCCAGTCCCCCAGCCTGCCTCAGCTCACCCCAGTCCCCTCTATTCCCCACCCCACCGCACCACCCTCCCTGCAGTACCGGCGCTGCCCGGCAGGGGGTGCTGCAGCTCCGCGTGTTCCCCCCCGTTGCCCACCTGAGGCGCGGAGCCCGCGGCGGGCTCTGGGCCCTTGGCGGCCGGCGGCGGCTCGGCGGGGCCCGGGGAGCCCTCGCTCCGCGGCTGCTCCGGGGACAGCCCGTCGTTGCTGCTGTCCTCCTCGAAGGCGAAGGCGTCCGCCGCCTTGGGGAAGCTGACCTGGGTGCCTGCCGGGAGGAAGCGGCGACCTCAGGGCCCTGCCTTGAGCGGGGGGATTTAGACCCACCCCGTGAGAGCTGGCTCTGAGCGCAGGCCGCCTGTGGTGCTCGGGGGCCTCGGCCTTGCGCGGGGGCAGCAGCGAGAGGGGAGGTGGCATCGGCTGCTGGCCCGAGCCGTGGGGAGGGAGATGGGGCTCGCCAGGGCTGCGGTGGGGAGATGCCTCTGTCCGCAGGCTTCACCCGCACGAATGCTTCACACCGAGAGCCCCCGGCACGGCTTCTCCCCGCAGCCGTGCTCTCTGCCGCTCGGGTGGGCAGCGGCTCTTGACCCCCGGCTCTCGCTGCCAGATGAAGCTCTGAAGAAACGCGGGTCTTGTGAGCACCGGAGCCCGCAGGTGGGGGCAGAGGAAGGAGCAGCGGGGCCGCGCTCGCCATCTCCCCGTGCTCGCGGCTGGCGTTCGTCAGGCAGCTCGGCCCGCAGATAGCGAGGTGCCAACGGGGGAAGTGGGCAGGGCCTGGGGACCAGCTCCCACCTGCCCCTGCTGCCGGCCCGGCGAGGTGCCTCTGCTCACCAGCGCGCCCCGCCGGCCCTGACCCCTGCCCTATCGCACAGATAACGTTATCGCTGCCTGCTCCGGCTCCTGGGGCCGGGGAGGGCGAGGACACGGGGAGCCCTGGCTCCCTGCCCCGAGCCGCTGCCCTGCCGCTGTGTGGCTGTGATCATGTCCTGGGTACCTCATATCCTGGGATGAGGGTGTGAGATCAATGTGTCCCATGGAGAGCCTCTCTTCCCTGCTGTTGTATGGATATGATCATATCCTGGGTACCTCATATCCTGGGATGAGGGTGTGGGATCAATGTGTCTCATGGAGAGCCTCTCTTCCCTGCTGTTGTATGGATATGATCATATCCTGGGTACCTCATATCCTGGGATGAGGGTGTGGGATCAATGTGTCTCATGGAGAGCCTCTCTTCCCTGCTGTTGTATGGATATGATCATATCCTGGGTACCTCATATCCTGGGATGAGGGTGTGAGATCAATGTGTCCCATGGAGAGCCTCTCTTCCCTGCTGTTGTATGGATATGATCATTCCTGGGTACCTCATATCCTGGGATGAGGGTGTGGGATCAATGTGTCCCATGGAGAGCCTCTCTTCCCTGCTGCTGTATGGATATGATCATATCCTGGGTATCTCATATCCTGGGATGAGAATATGAGATCAATGTGTCCCATGGAAAGCCTCTCTTCCCTGCTCTCCGGCGCACGGAGCTCCTTGAATGTCCCCTCTCCAGCATCCAAACTGTGCCTTCCCTCTGGAGCCCGCAGCCATAGCTAAGCCTGCTGATAAAGCACTGGGGTGGATGAAGGCGTTATCCACCAGAGATGCTTTTGTAGTGGGCACTGGACAGAGGCTTTGGGCAGAAATGAGTGACTCCATAAATAGAGAGAAAAATTGCAGACAAGCATGGGCATCCTTGCTCTGGGAAAAATGACAACACGCGAGGACTGTGGATGTGCAGGGCTCCCGCTGCGCTGGCATTTAATAAGCACGCGTTGGGAAGTGGTGCCAAAGCTGAAAGCCCAAGGGACCTTTGGGACACAGCAGCAGCCTGGAGCATGACAGGAATGTGCTGCATCCTGCTGCTTGATACCACGGGCCTGTGCCGGGTGGGGAATGCTGCCCTTATCTGTCCTGCTCTCACCCAGCCCGTATTGTTTCAGGATCCCATGTCTCTGCTGTAATCTCAGGCAGAATGGTGTTTGCTCGGGGCTGTTTCTAATGCACTGGGTATTGTCCTCTCAAGCGAATTGGACAAAGTGATGACAAGGACCTGGTAAAAAAGGGTTCTTGTATCACTGCTCAGCTATGTAGGGCACTGGCGGCCTCCTGTCACTAGGACGTTAGGGCTTTCGGTTGGGGTCTGGCACTTGCTGCTCACCCTGCCGGAGGTGATTAGAGGAACACGTCAGCTGAACTTTCCACTGTATAAACAGTTGAGATTCCAAGGTTAAAGTAAAATGATTTTAAACCCTGTCATCTTTCTGGTATTGCAAAAACAAAACGTTCACAAGTGCCAGTGCTCATCCCTGCTCTGTGTTCTGCCCTTAGCTGTGAGCACCACAAGGTGCCTCTGACCCCAAAAATCACCTTGAAGATCCTTCAGCCTGGGGCTCTGTTCTGCAGAAACCTGAGGGCTGGGATTGTGTTCCTGGTGCACTTGCACCTCCTCCTTCTCATGGCACCCAACGTTACCAAGTAACTTCACGGTTAACCCTAATGTGCTGCATGATTCATCCTAAATGGGATAAAACTCACTTACAGGGGACAGTTTTCCCTCAGCCATGTGATAGAAGGGCATTGTGCAAGGGAGAAAGTTCAAATGGATCCATTTTTTTCAAGCCAGACTTTTTGTTTTTATCAGTTTTGTCCTGTAAATCTCTTTACCACGAGCTCCTGACAAGGCAGCTGGAGAGAAACGTTGTTCCCAGCTCACTTGCCCAGCCTCCAAGCCTCTGCTGCAGTGAATAAAGTCGGGCTCAAACTGTCTCAAATGTTTAGGAGGGGGGGGGGGGATTTTTTGTTTTCCACTGTTCTTCCCTTCAATAAGTGGCTGGGGAGATTTTAACTGAACTCTCATTAAAAGTTCCTCTTCAGGCAGAGTCCTGGAACATTTCACCTCCGAAGATGAGAGCTGTGAAATGCTGCAAAAGGAGCAGCTCAAGGGCCACACTAGAAAAGCCACAGCAGGAAAACCAACAGCAGGAGCAACTGTGGGGCAGGACAGAGCAGTATTGGAGCCTCAAGTATCTTGTGTCACTTATGCTGGTTTATGAGGTGAAATGAAAGTCAAAGTCCTTCCTGTTTCAATTCCCGTTTTCAGCATCACTTCTGTTGTTCAAACCCCACTCCTGTCCCAGAGCCCTGCCACTGTCCCCAGATTGCTCTGAGCCCCAGAACAGGCACCTAACATGGGATTTTGCCAATGGAAATAATCCCATGAATTGAGGAACCAGGAGCAACAGAACGAGCAGCTCCCATGGGGCACAGCATCTCTCAGATGCTCAAACACAAGCTGCTGTCCTGGTACTGCAGGACCCCACTGGCTTTCCTGCCCCTTTCTTTGCCTTTGGATCTCCCTGTCCTGGTATTGGCCCTGGTGAAACCTGAGTCACCTTTTGCTTTGTGTCAGCTCCCACACCAGCCTCCCTGCAGCAGCACAGGGGGAATGAAAGTGGAGGATTTTGCTTCCGTGCTCTGGTTGGGGGGTAGATGATGATAGACAAAACCCAGCTTAGGCATAAGTCAAGTGCTGGGCACTGGTAGGTAGGAGTGAACCCTGGAGTGGGGTGCAGGCTGCTCCTTGTGTTCCCCAGCAGTCTAGCACCCCAGGGATGCTTCCACCCCCCAGAGATGCAGCATCCTACTCTGTTGGGCCACGCATCCCACTGACATCAGTGGAAATAAGAGAGAACCGAACTGGAACACTTCACCCCCACCTGCTGCAACAGGAAAGCTTGATAGGGCACAAATGGGCAAACCCAAGCTGGCCTCACAACATGTGTGCACCTAGGTCCTCTCCCTCAAGAGGGAGGCAAGAATGTTTTGTCTCCCACAGTATCATGTATGTGCTCAAAGCCTTGGCTAGAGAAACAGCTTAAGAAGAGAGGTCCTGAGGAGATGAGCATTTTGCAGTGGTTATTGTTCTAAGATGAGAGCTCTCTTTTCCTAGAGCTGGGTAAAATAGCCCAGGCTGTGCTGGCCTGGGCTGCTTACTGTGAAAATAGTTAAATTTAAGCAATAAATGCAGCTTTTTAGTCCAGGCCAGTCACTTCCTGCAGCCGCTGCAGTACATCCTCATAACCTTGCCAGCCCCGTGCTATGCACACAACACAACATGCACGTTCACTTCCACTACCTTTTATGGCCTCTTTCACAGCGGAGTCGACAGGAATAATGTTCTTCTCCACCAGCTCCAAAGGACCCGGCCTGAGAGCAATCTTTTCATTGAGATCATCTGCCAGTCGGGCTCTTTTCAGCTTCATTTGAGTAGACTGAATGGACCCCTCTGCAGCTGAGTCTAAAAGGCCAAATGGAAGGCATCAGTTTGGGACCTGGGGCATCTCCAAGCACAGTGCACAGTGAGAATGTGCTTTCCCTTCAACGCAGCCAAAATCTGGGCTGCAGCCAGATGGCTCAGTGCACAGCAGGAGCTGCTGTGAGGCTGTGAGGCAGGATGCTGGACTGGATGGGGCTGGTGGGATTTGAGACATAGGTCCTCCTCTGAGCCTGAGGTCCAACTTCTCATTCCCAGGCAAAAGCCTTTGTCTACTAGCCTAGGCTTGCAAACCCATCCTGCAGCTGGGGCATCCTCCCCAAGGATCAGGAATGATCTGCAATGGAAACTTCATTAACAAACTCCCACTAATGTAGGGGCCAAAGTGGACTCCAGCTCCTGTCTGCTAGGAGCCCATTGGCCCTTGCTGGCTAATGCAGATGGATCCCTACTTCTGGGGAGCAGCTGCAGAAATGAACCATTGACAGTGTTTGACAGATGGAGGAAATGTCTTGCACTGGAAGAAAAAAGGCTGAGGTTTTGGGAGCAGACATTTGGAGGCAATGTAACAACAGTGCTCCAGGACTTCAGGGAAAAAACAAGCTGCAGAGGAGCATAAGAGAGGCAGCTAGATCTGGAAGCTACAGCCCTACCAAACCAAGCTGAGAAGTCTACAGTTATTGAGTGGTGATGTAAGTAGCCAATTAAACAGACATTGCCTGAACAGAGGTCGTCTGGCTCCTCTGGTGGCACAGGCATGAGCAGTGAGGGAGTGGGATTCTAAAACAGACCATGTCTATACCCTTGGGGGTCTAAAGGAAGAAGGGCTGCATCTAGATTGTCCTGTCTTCAAAGACTGGAGACTCTTCTAGAAGAGAGACTGTAGGCAACAGAAGTTACAGGGCTTGATACCATGGAAAGTTCTCTGCAGGAGGCCAGGAGAGCTGATCCAGGGTAACTCCTGGCCTCAGACTATACAGGGCAGTAAACACACTTGAGGTGAACCGTAACAGAAGGTGTCCCTGTAAAGCATTTAGATGATGTGAAGTCTCAGTTGGCCGGTTTCAATCACCTCTAGGCCCTGTTACGAACCAAGTAGACATGTGAGTCCATGATATGCCAGGGTACATGTCCTGTATGCAGAGGTGTGTGTGAGGCAGCACAGCCAGCTTGCTCAATACAAAGCCAGGCAGTATCTTCTCCAGCTCCCCTCTGGCTGTGTCTGCCTGGCCTTGCCCATGCCTGGCGACTGCAGCTGCCCCCACATCTTGTTTGTAGTCCCCTAACTCCTCTAGCGCTTCTATGGTTTAACCTAAGGGAAAGATACTTTCCACCTGATTGATAAACAAGCAATGGTGCTAGCTCACTCTAGGGATGGACATCCAAAGAGAAAGCAAGGCAGTGACAGTGATCTGGAATGGGTCCCTGCCTCAGCCCTCCTGTGTGGCAGAGGAAAAAGAAATATGGACTTCATCCATGCCGAGAGCAGAGGCCAGCAATTACAGTTGCCAGAGAGTGATCTGCTTCTTCCAGGCATCTGACAGGACTACAGGAGAGAGGCTGCACATCCTCCCTGGCTCTAAGGAGCTCGGTATCTCTGGAGATAACAGGGGGCACCACAGTGTTCCGCTGTCTGTGATGGGATACAGCAGAGCCTTGCCAGCTCTCTGGCCGGGAAGGGACACCAGGATGGGAGAGGGGAGAGGTGCCGTGGCTCATGGCCTGATAGCAGGGCTCACCCTTTTTTTACAGCTGTGCTTGGCATGAGCTGGCACAAAAAATATCCAGAATTATGGAAAGACATCCAGCTTTGGGAGGTATTGCAGCCACCAGCTACAGGGATTTCAGTGCCCTGGACAACTAGTGCCTTGGGTATGCTTTTCATGAGGGTCACCTCTGCTGAGTCCTCTCTTACAGCTCTTCTCCATGGTATTTTATACTGGTCCCCGCCAGAGATGGGAGAATGGTTAGATAACCTTTGGATGTTACATCAGGGAATAAATGTGTGTCCTGCCTCCTGAAGGCCAGGACTGAATTCCGTACAACATGTGAACCATTTGAATCTGCCCCCTGCCCCTCATGAGTAGCTGGGACAAAGTTATCCCAATGAGAGTCCTGCAGGGAAGCCAAGTGGGGCAGGAAAGGCATGAGTCACAAGGTGGGAGAAACAAGGAGTATGTGTGAGAAGCTCAGGCAGTCTTACCTTGCAAAATGTGCATATTGACCAGGTCTGATCTCTCAGGCCTGCTTCTGATCTTGTGCTTGAGATAATCTTCAGTCTGCAGGACATAAATGCAGAGTTACCTGGGTAGAGCAGCAGTAAGGTACAGAGAGCATCTGCCCCTGTGCCACCCCATGGTTCTTTTGGATTTATTACAATGTTTACTAAACCCACTCCTGAGATGTCTCCTTTCCAATTTCCCTTGGGTTTCTCATGCCTGGAAGTATTACAAGAGCCTATGGGAAGGATGAGATCTATTCAACAGGGAGTGGTGGATATTCTCCTAGCTTAGCATGCCATGTGGCCTTTGAGAGCTGCACCAAGGCACCTCCAGAGTGTATGGTTAGCAATGGTTTCTGTGGCAAGCCTGGCACTCTGGGGCTGAGCAGGCCATGGAGATTCCCAGGCTCTTTACCTGGGTCACCCACGAGGCTTGGTCTTCCTGCAGCTAAGTTAAGGTACAGGAAGAAATAGGACCAAAAAATGGACATAGTTCAAAGAGGTTAAAATCTTCAGGGTAAATATGAAAGAATAGTACAAGCAGCTGGAGCAAAACTGGAAAACCTGCAGTACAAAATGTACAGGATCATGAGAAAAAGGTTTCATAAGGACTTCCGTAGGCATGACAAGGCAATGGAAAGTGCTGTCTGTGTTCCATAAGCAGGAGAAATAATTATGCATACTGCTGGGATGGCTACAGGATTTAATGCGTTTTTAAACCATCCTGCCTAAGAAGATAAATGGCTATTTATCGATCAGATGACTAAGCCAAGAACCTTCAGCAACAAAAGAGAAGAAACCCCAGTTATCAGGTTGGAGAACAGGTTGGAGAATCCTCAGATGGGTTAAATATTCCCAGTTTGAGATACACAAGAGTAATATCTATGGGTCTCCAGGAAACAGGGCGAGGGAGAGCATAATTTCTTGCTTTAAATGAAATGGAGAGAAGAAACAAGGAATTCATAAACCAGTCAGCAAGATATTGGACCAAGCAATCAAACAGCCTCTATAAACAGATTTTGAAGATAGAGAGGAGGTGAGTAAGAGCCAGGATGGATTCATCAAGAACAAGCCACATCACACCAACCTTATTTCATTCTATGGAGAGCTGACAGATTTCTGTTACAGGAATAAACAGTGAATGTCATGCAGCTTGACTTGAAGCATGTTTTGACATTATCTCACATGGCTTTCTCACAGGCAAGCCAGAGAAATTTGGTCTGGATAAGACTAACATAAGAAAGGAGTGTAGCTGTGGGTCATCAGAGGAATTAGGAATGGCTCACAGTCTAAACAGAAGAATAGATCAAATCACATTACACAGCAATTTTTTCTACCAGCCAATACATTCATTACTGTGTTGGAGGATAGAAAATATACTCCTTAGCTCTGACTCATTCAAGGCTAGCAGATTACAAAGCAACATGATTCAGAGTAATCGAAGAAATGATCTGAAGTAGTTCTGATCCCATTGCAAGGACACGTGGAAAGGACTGCGTTCAGGTCACAGCTGATTCTGCACTGGGGTGGATGAAGCTAAGCAGCTGTGCACGCACATGCATAGAGAAGAGCGAGCCATGGGCTTCAGTTTCAACAGAGCATGGGCTGGGAACTGGGGCCACTTGCTAAGAGCACAGGTTAGAGAGCTATGGTTGGGCTGGCTGTGGTGGTCAGGGGTGACCCAGCCGGGGCTGGCTGCTCTGGGGCACAGGAACGACAGCTTTTCCTCCCTGCCACGCTTGCAGGGTGCGGGAAGGAAGCGCTCAAGCCCTTCTGAGCCTCAGGGAAGTCAGACCCAGCAAGCTCTTAGGAGGCATTGACTTCAAAGGCTGTGCACTGGCCCGAGGCCAGCCTCTAATGTCGCCAGTGACATGTTTAAACAAATAATAGACACTTTATTTACTGAAGTCTTTACCATTCCTTACCCTTCCCCCGCTAGGTTTTCCCCGGCTTATTTTCACCAACACAGTCCCTTGCTTGGACCACGTGTATGTTTGCTGCTTCCTATGAAGGACAGAGCAAGCTGCTGTCTGCACCTGAGTGCGGTTAAATTCACCTCATGCATTTCTAGCTAATCCTCGGGTCAGGTCCTGACTTGGGCTAAGCTTGAATTGCTGCCCTACGGCTGTGGCATTGTCCTTGTCAAACCCACCATTCACACTGCATTACCCTGACTTTCTGCTCAGGTTTCAGTTCCTCTTGACCGTTGCTCTTTAAAAGCTACGTTTGTGCCGCTGGGGTGCAAATGGTGGAGAAAGACTTCAGATGTGTTTGAGGTCTATTTTAGTGTCAGTTGAAACAGAAGAGCTTTCAAAACACATGAAAGCAGTTCTTGTTATCTGCTTTCTGTTTGCAGAACATCAGTTTGGAGGAGTGTCAGCTAAGCAACAAATGCCATTGAGTAAGTATCTGGAAACAGCTGCTGCTCCTTCCCTGTCACAGCTCAAAGCAGGGCATCCTTGCAAAGGAGTATGTTTGTTCTGGGCTGTGCTCATTAGTGTTTTGATTAGCATGGTCTGAAAACGCAGTTTGGGATAGACTAGAGAGCATCCTTCCCTTTCCCTAGGCAAGTAGCCAGCGAAAGCTATTGGAGAGAAAGACAAAGAGACACAGATGTATACTTGAGCTGTAAAATATGTGACACTTCAGGGATACTTTGGATTGCTTGAAATTCTGTAAGCACACCAATTTTTCAGAGTCATGCTGTGTTTCTTATGCTGGCCGTTTATCACCACAGGAGACTCAGGGCAAGTGATTTGGAGTGTGTTTAAGTTCAGATGAGCACTCCTCCATGTTTCACAATCATTCTTCCTTGCAAAAGTCCTTTCTTAGACACAGATTAATGGAACAAACTCTTTGCGTTCAAGCAAAACCTGCATGACTGAGTGTTCCCTCTTCCATGGACATCCCTCCAGCTCGGTCAAGGCTGGATGGAAGGTGCTTGGAAAACCCACAGAGTGGTCTCATCACAGGGTTTCAATGTGTTCTGGAAATGCCTACTTATCTCTGCCTTCAGCAATATTTAAGGAGCCTGAGTGCAGCTAGATAACAGGGCCAGAGGGAGCCTGGCCCACTTAGCCCCTTGGATGTTGTGTGTTGTAACAGCCACGCTGCACTGCAGAGCTAAGAGCAGGGCTCCTGCCTGACGACAAATGTGAGTTCCCTGGGGACCCGCTCCGGGTGACAAAGGGCATCTGCAGGCCTCCTGCATGCTTGCTAAACAGTTAGGCTCCTTCAGCCTTGTTTGCTGCTGGCCCTGCTCTAACCCTGCTGAGGAGTGGACACCAGTCAGTGCCTTGAGGAGTGGGCTGTGGACCTGGTCCGGAGACTTCAGCTGCTTGGATGTTCGCTGGAAGGACTGCTGATGCCATGTGAACTGCTCCCTGCCCACAGTCTCTTGTGAACCCCAAGTGATGTTGTAAAACCCCATAGCTCAGGCACAGATGCTCCAGAGCATTTGTGAATCCTGGCCTGGCCCCAGCATGTCTAAAAGCAGGGGAGATGCTGTGACCCTCACCTTTGGCCACAGGGCTTGAATAAAGGATGCCAGAGCAGGGGGGCAATGGTGGAGAGTGCTATCAAACCCCGCGAGTCATGCAAAGCAAGCCCACGTGTCCCCTCACTGGGTGGCTGCAGGAGTTACCTTGGCTCGCTCCAGACTTTTTCGCTGTTCATGGAATGAGGATGGGCTTTTCAGTGCTGCAACAGGAAAGAGAGAGGAGCAGTCAGCACAGGAGTGGAAGCAAGCAGCTACCAGGATATTCAGCAACAGCATTTTAATGAGGGCTATATAAATAGCAACACAAACTAGCCGTTCCCTTTATTGCACTGACTAAAAATAACTCAGGAAAGCTCTGGGAAATCCCTTGCTCTCAGCCAGTCCATGGATGGAGAGCACGGGGAGCACAGGAGGCAAATGGGCAGGGAGGGGGTGTGGGCTTTGAAACACAGTGCTCTGTGGGACACATCAGAAAGCAGATATGGCTTTTCCTTGGAGTGCTTCCTGCAGGTCATGGAAGGCACCAGAGCCCCAGAAGACGATGTGGGAAGAGCTACAACCTGAGAGGGGACCACATCTGCAAGGAAAACCTGCAGGTGATGGAGACTTGAGGACAGCAGGAAAACTACCTGGCCTCTACTGTGCTCCAGGAAGGGAATTTCAGTGCAAGGTCCCTTGTCCCTCCTCCATCGCTGACCTCCCCTCCATCTCTCACTGGATGTTGGTCCTGTTCTCTGCCCACAAGCACCAGTGTGACTTGGGGCCTCCCTAAGCAGGCTGCTGCCCGGTCAGCTACCAGGCTGCAGACCATGCCCTCAGCATCTTCTGACACCAAGGAGGACTAACCCACATGGGGTCCCAAACAACAGCCAGTGAGCCCTGGCTGTAGGAGCAGTGGACACCAGCCCCATGGAGGAGTCTGTATTGGAGTCATGGAGAACCTTGAATGTTTCCTTCTTTACTCTGGTTCACTAGAAATAGTAGAATTATGGTGAAGGGGTTAATATTTCTGAGATCCTGCAAAAATTCTATTCTGGCTGTATAAGAGGCAAAATTAACTGTTCCCATTGGGACAGGGAAGGGGAAGGTGTCCTGACCCACAAAACCAACCTGCTACAACTCTGTTTGGCAATAGGAATTCCCTTTTGATCTTCTGAATGAGATCCAGTAAGGAGAGAAACTGTTTCCACATAGGACATTTTATCCTCCATCAGTCTAGAGGAGGATGAAGAGAAGACTTGGGGCAGATGGGAAATGTTCGGGGGCCCTCTGTGTTGGCTTTTGGTAGGCAACCCACAGCGTAACCACTATGAACCCCGGTAAATCACAGTAAATCACTGTGTGAGCCCATTTCTGCTCCTAACATGGGAAAGCAGACATACAGACAAGCATTACTGTGCCATGCTCCAGTGAGCAGCCATGAGGACTTGTGAGGTTTAATCAGAAGCAAACTAAAATGATGCACACAAGAGCATGAAGTTAGCAAGAGAGATGACTTTTCAGCCCCGCTCACTGTGAAGTACTGACATAGGGAGTGTGCTATGGGCATCGACCAAACTCCGTGCTCTTCAAGAGGAACATGTTGCAGAATTTAGTAATTTACCAACATTTTTGGAGGAATTATGTGGATGCTGCAGCTTGTATTAGTCTGCAAAACAAACAGAGACATCGCTAGCACTTGTTATTCAGACAACTTGTCATGGGTGACACATCAGCTTGAAATGGCTGAGGGTCTGGAGGTAACAGGGCAGAGCTGCTGTGCTTGGTGTTGATAATCTTGGGACCGTGACCTCTAAGGTTTGTTAAAGGATGAGGTGGTGGCTGTGTACAGCAGGAGTCTTCAAGCACAGCTATTTCTCAGCCCATCACTCTATTGGGAGCCTTGCTTTGAGGGGAATCCTTGATGCTGCAAGCTGCCTCCCCTCCTCCAGGGTAGGTGACCAGGGTCTGGCTGGGGCCTGGGGCAGGTGTCTGTGCAGGTCTAGAGAGAGGGGTCACCCATGCTGAGCCCCACAGCCTGTGTTTCTGCAAATGTCCCCACATGTTCTTGGTTTAAAATGCTTTAGCTGGGCCTGCACCAGTTTCACCAAGACAGTAAAACCATGTGTTGGTGCATGAACTGGGAACATCCTATTGAGTGAGCCTGAAGAAAGGGGCAGGCTCTGCTCTCACCTGCACATCTCCTGTGCATCAGAAGCTTGCTGTGTGCCAAAGAATCTGATCTCCCCTTGCTCCCAGAGGACCCTCCATACACAGAGTCACAGGGCTGCAGGAACTCAGAGGCTGCTCTTGCCCACCAGTCTGTGCCTGTCTCTATTGGTAGAGCCCTTTTCAGCAGTGTGGATAGTTTTGCCAGCCAGTTGTTCAATTTACAACCTGAAAACATCTGACAATCTGAGTCCAGCTTTGAACCTGAAGCCTTGGCAATGCCACTGCTCCTGAGCATCCTCTAAGCAGTTTCCTGCCTTCTCTAGTGATGAGGCCATCTGAAGGTTTCACATTTCTCAGAGGAACATCTGAAGTATGATGAAAGCTCAGGTATGTGATGGAGTTGATCTTTTCCAATCAAACTAAGTACAGACTAGGCTTTGGTAAGGATATTCCTTTACTGCTATGCTCAGGTAGCACTGATACTTCTCCCTGTGCTGTTCTCTTGGATGCCAAAATCCAGCCAGGTTCCTAGGATGTATTCCAGTGTTTCATGTTTGCTGTGCTATAGCTGCACTGCTGAGCTCTGGAGGCTCTGAAGATAGTCACCAACTCCCTCAGCTCCCCTTCCCACAAGGCTTTCTACAACCCTCAAATCTTTTATCCAATGCTATTCTCTTACTCTGACCTTCTGTCTCTCTGGTGTCTGTATAAAACGCATCACTTATAAAAACAAAGTTTCTCCATCCTGGGATTGTATCAGCAGAAAATGTATGCAATGGGTTGAAAGCAATCCTTGTGCAAAATCCAATGTGCAATGTGGGATCAAGTGCATGCTCCAAGCCTGATACCAAACCTGACTCTAACCGTGGAGACCAGCAATGCCCAACTTTACTCTTTTCCAGAAGGGCAATTCTCAACCACTGTGGGTTGTAGCTCTGTGGGCTCATTTCTTGCCCTCCTGCAATACATGTGAAGTGAGGTCCTGTCCTGGTGCAACACCCAGAGCCAACCTCACCTGCTGGTCTTCAAAGCCAACAGGCATGAGAAGTTATCACAGAATCCCAGCCTGGTTTGGGTTGAAGGGACGTTAAAGCTCCTCCAGCTCCAACCCCTGCCACGGGCAGGGACACCTTCCACTAGAGCAGCTTGCTCCAAGCCCCTGTGTCCAACCTGGCCTTGAAGACTGCCAGGGATGGGGCAGCCACAGCTTCTCTGGGCACCCTGTGCCAGCACCTCAGCACCCTCACAGGGAAGAGCTTCTGCCTCAGAGCTCATCTCAGTCTCCCCTCTGGCAGGTTAAAGCCATTCCCCTTGGCCTGTCCCTACATCCCTTGTCCCAAGCCCCTCTCCAGGTTTCCTGCAGCCCCTTCAGGCACTGGAGCTGCTCTCAGGTCTCCCCTTCAGGAGCCTTCTCTTCTCCAGGCTTCCCTAGCCCAGCTCTCTCAGCCTGGCTCCAGAGCAGAGCTGCTCCAGCCCTCGCAGCAGCTCCATGGCCTCCTCTGGACTCACTCAAGCAGGTCCACATCCTTAAATACTTGTTTTCCATAAGGAATGACTGCACGTGCCCAAGCCATGGGGAGTCTGGCTGGGGCTCCCATGTACTAAATGCTGACGCCTGACGCTCCCTCCGGAGGTCAGATGCAGCAGTTAAATTTTACGTGTTTGTTTTTCTAATGGCAGAAGTGTCTTCTCTTCTATTACTTTCAGGGAGTGAACTGTGCTCAAGCTTCCCAAAATGGCCTTCTTGGACAGAACCCAGACTGCAAAATGTCAGAGTAGAAGCTGGGAGTGCAAAGAAGTCATAAGTAACAGGAAAATACCCTTCAGCTGCCATCAGATAAATCTGGTTTAATATGTGGTCTGCAGTGTGTAAGGTTTTCAATGTTAGGTGTCAGTCCCGTGCACTCAGTGTGCAGAGCAGTGTCAGGTATTCAGACCTCTCAGTTGGCACCACTGCTCCATACTGCTCCAGGGGTGTCCTGCACCTCATCTGAGCATTCCCATTTCTAGAGTGGGTTTCCCAGTTCAGGAGATGTTAGATGTAGTTTTGGCCACTGACTCTATTTCCAGTGCTTGCAATACTATAACAAACGTCACTCCTGGAGCCCTGTGGTTAAAATGCTTGCCTAGCCCTAACCCTAATGCTTGCCTTTTGGTGGCAGGCAGCAGAAAATCTGAATGCTTAAAGGAATAAACAGAAGGTAAATAGGAAGAACACATATTTATCCGTCTGAAAACCATAATGATCATTTTGACAGTCATGATTTTTGTCATCCTGCTCAAGTTTTCTTAATGTTTGCTGGCAACACTGCGCTGAGAATTTGTCCGTTGCTGGCTACCTTGACCCAGTGCTTTAGGAAGGCAGCTGCATGGGAAGGGCTGAGGGCTGCACAGGGTGCAGCAAGCAGTGCTAGAGCTGTGCTCCTAGTGCGTTGTTCTGCTCTTTAGACAAGAGCTGCATCAGAATCTTCAAGGTCAGCCAGAAGAGACAGAAGTGACACAGGCTTTGGAAAGTTGTGGTCTTAGCAGCGAACACTAAGGGCCCTTGGTGAGACAGGGTAAGTCTCTACCTGGGTCCTAGGTATCACATTCATGCACATGGAGCCTGAGCTAGGTCAGGATGGAGTTATCCCATCACACCTGAGCTGCCAACAGCGTTTCTCTGGTAGTGCTACAGGTTTCATGACGCACCTGCAGGTGCAGAAGGGGATCATGTTCATTCACTTACTTTTTGGGATCTAGCAACTAGCTTTCTGATGCTGAATGAGCACATGATAATGCTGGAGCTTGCTCTTCAGGCTTGAATGCCAGCTTGAAAAGGATGAATGTGGTCAGAGAGGGAAAAGCATGGACGTCATTTGTCTGCAGCAAGCAGGCCCAGGTGGGGTTTCACTGGCCTCAAGTATACACTGACAGTTTTGTCCTGTGGGGTCCTGGCTGGGCACAGGCACAGGTCTGGATATGTCTCACTCATAGAAGTGCACTGGGGCCAAGGCAGTTACCCACCGCTTCCTTCTTCCACAGCCTCTTGGAATGGGCTCTCTCTACCTCTTCCTTGTTCTGTGGATCTGGTCCAGCCACAGAGGGTCTTGGCTTTTACAGGAGGACATGAGATTCTCTGCCTTTGCCTACATGAAGAGCTTTGCGAGTCTTCTGCTTGGAGCTGGGTATGCTAGTCTGCTACGGTGACCTCAGGGACAGGGAGCTATGCACCTGAATCTTTGGATGCTGTAAGCTAAGCATCTCTCCTGACCTCAGTTTGAGCAGTGGCATTATAGTCTATGTGGCAAATGCTGGGCACTGTTGTGCAGCGACAGGAACTCTGATATTTCTATGGGGCAGGAAGCAAAGTCCCCTGGTAATAACCTGCTCAGAGCGGAGTGGGTCTGGGCAGGCAGCTGGTGCCACAGCGTGCTCCAGCAGTGCCCGGGGTGAACACAGGAGTGGGTGACAAGGCACAAACAGGTACTCACGTGGCATGATGCCTTGGTCTGCCAGCTGCTCGCGGGTCCTTCTCTGCTGAAGCCGTAGCTGCAAAACTGTAAGAGAGATGGTGTCAGGAAAAGAGGCAGGATTTCAACTCTTCCCTGTGAGGGTGCTGAGGTGCTGGCACAGGGTGCCCAGAGAAGCTGTGGCTGCCCCATCCCTGGCAGTGTTCAAGGCCAGGTTGGACACAGGAGCTTGGAGCAAGCTGCTCTAATGGAAGGGGTCCCTGCCCGTGGCAGGGGTTGGAGCTGGAGGAGCTTTAAGGCCCCTTCCAACCCAAACCACGCTGGGATTCTGTGATTCTATGACAATGTGCCGTGGGTCTCTGTGTGGTACAGAGGTCTGGCACTGAGCTCTGCTGCTGCTGGACCAGCCTTGGCGCAGCAGAGTGCTCAAAGCCAAGGAGGAGCTGCATAGACTGAACCACCCTCATCCTCACTGCTGCAGACAGATGAGCTGCACAGGGCTGCTTCTGGTCCAGGCAATTCCCTAGTGCCTGGGGCAGGCTGATCCCTGCCTGGCGCCGGTGATGGGTGATGGCAGCCTCAGGTGGCCATGGCTTCAGCTCAGATAACTGCTCAGTTCTGAACTCTGAGGCTGGGAGGTTCTCCCTCCCGCCAGCACTGTGGGTTGAGTACAGTTGTCCAACTCCATCACTCTCCTGAGGGCCTGGCAGTGTAATTCCAGCCCTGCAAGGCTCAGCACTGGATGCAGACAGCCTTACTGTTCCGAGGGGGATGTAGATGATGTGGTGAGGAGAGATTAGTACCATCTCTGTATGAATCCACTGCCTCAAGGACCTGCAGTCTCCAGTATAACTTGGGTTTGGAAACAGTGCACTGACAGATGGGAATGAACCACTGCTCATGGTCACTGTGCGGATTAGCAGCATGGCCTCAGGTACAGAGCACTGATGAGGCATCTGATAAAGAAGCAGCTCTCAACATGCACAGCATGCAACGATATCCCACCATACACCTGCAGCCTGCCTGGCGCAAGGCTACCTGCCTCTGCTTGGCCCAGGACAAGTCAGTTCCTCCCATCACTCAGGTAACCCTGCGCTTTGACTTAGGATCATATTCTACACCTTTGCTTTTGCACATTTGTCTTCAGGAAGACAGGCACTTGTATCACAAGGTGAAACACAGAGCTCACTTCTGTATTTTCCTGCTGGAAGCTCAGTACAGCTTGCCGCAAGGACATGCCTTGGTCAGTGGTCACAATAGAAGTGCATGCACATTCCCTACAGCACAGCCCCAGGCTGCATCTCCTGAGCTGACTGTAGAGAGGTGCTATTGGAACTGGAAGAGAGGAAGAACGGCCTTTTTGTCCTCAAGAGCAACCTGCTGAGCTCTGGCACAGCTCATGTCTACAGTGCAGCTTCCCCAGGATGTGGATGGAGCTGAAGAATAATCCCTTCCAGATGAGTTCCCAAAGCACACAGTCCAATTAGATCCATTGCCTGTGACTTTCCGTGTCCTTTGCAAAAGCCATGGCTCACATTCAGATCAAGTGTTTGGTAAAGGCCTCACATGGGACCATGATCTGCCAAATTCCAGCACTTCTTAGGACACCAAGGAGAGATTCTTGCTATGAGGGAAGTGTGCAGCCTTCAGTACCTGGTAAAGTCTGGGTGTGTGCAGTGAGCTGTCAGCCAGGCCTCTTTCAGAGAGAAAGAAGTTATACACTCCCTTGAAGCATAGCTCGGAATGATGGTGATGATGTCCAGTTGTGGTGGCTGTAAGAGTCAGCATCTGTCTTGATGCAAGAAGTGCTGAAAGCATGTGTAGGTTTCAGGGCCATGGCTCTCCCTGTGCTGGGATCCGGGAGCAGCACTCGGGAGCCCAGGTTTTCCAATGCTACTCCCTTCCAGCAACCAGTGCACGATCCAGGAGAGCCTGGCTAACAGCTGCTCCTTTGGCCCCTGCACTGAGCACTGCAGAGAGACCCTCACAGAGGGGACCTGATGTTATTTAATAATCTTTTTGTGCAGAGAGAAAAGGTTTCAGAGTTGTGTTTCATGCTGACAGGCAGTAAGGCTGTGACCCAGCGATGACACAAGCTGTTCTGGCTGTGAGAGCTAAGCTCTTCCATGGGTGAGTGGCTATGGACAGGCCATGCTGACAGAGAACGTTAGGACAGGAGCAGCCCAAGCTTGCTGGTTGAAACAGTTATTTCAACCATTGCGTACTCATCCATATCTGGTCCTCATTATGTGGTGGGCTGCACGCCTTGACTCCCTCATACCATCTCTATGAACTTCCAAACCATCTGAAGAAACATAGCGGTGCACAGTGCCAGACAGTAACACCGAGCATCCCTGCAGGAAGAGGTAAAGCAGCCACTACTCTTGGCAGCCTCTGAGTCCATGCTGCAGCTCGCCTTTTGGTGGATGCCAGCTCAAGACTTGCACATTTCTCTTACAACCAACAATGCTTTGGAACAGGCTGGAGGAGCCCCTGGTACCATCCAAACAACCACCATGTAGTTTCTTGAACAGGACTTGAGACCTGTTGAAGCTGTGTCTGACCCCAGCTGCGCTCCTGTCCCCTTCCTTTGCTACATGTCTGAGCTCTGATTGCTGCTGGGACTCACTCTGAGGATGGTGTCAAAGGCTTTTTTGACTATTATTTTTAAAGGAAACTGCTTTGCTGATGCGTCAGAGGAACATTTATGTTCCGAACAGTGATGGCTGGAGCACTGATGAGACAATGTTGGTCCCACACCCCCAGCATCCTTGTTGCCTGCCTGCACCAGCTTGGATGGGGAGAAGTACCCCCAGGGGAGCAGTCATCCACACTGGTCATCCTGTGGCACCATCAGCTCAGAGACAGCTTCCAGCAACCTGCTTCTTCCTCTGGTACCCCATGGTGAGAAATCCCTCCCTAGGCGATGCGAGGCATGTCACAGCTATTGCAGTGATTTTTCTGTCAGAAATACCCCTCTTTTCTGTGTTAGCACTGTTTTAGTGATCATGCTTTCAGAAACAGCCTGTGCAGTGTGGCTGTTATCAGTGCAGACCTCCTGTCATCAGTCACTCTGGTGGCCCAAGCTCTGAGCACTGCCCATGACTTGAATCCTCTTCCCCAGGAGTTCACTCCAGAGCTTTAGGAAGCTCATCTTGATGATCTTAAAGGTCTTTTCCAACCTACCTGATTCTGTGATTCTAAAAGACAGCTTGGGCCTTGCCTGGCCTGATGATGCTCTGGAAAAGACATATTCAAATCCTCCCTCCACCCCAGGAATGGGCAGACCTGGCCTTCTGCTTCAGTCTGCAGGGAACTTTTAGTCCCGTGCTCAGCACACTGTCAGGATGGGACTGTTCTCCCCTGCACCATCAGATTGTCCCCCATGCTGGGGCATTGCCGCAGCACTCACAGCACCATCCTCTCTTTGGGGGAATCAGCTTTACTGGGAGCTGCTCTCCTTGCAGGGATGACTAGGGCAAAGCCATGGCTGACCTGATCCTGTGCTGGTGACCGTCTGTGTCTGAGAAGGAGGTTCTCAGAGCAGTGCCTTCCAGCCAACACTTGTGTAGCAAGCAGAGCATGTTCCCTGGAACTCTGAGGCTGCAAGAGGCTTTCTCAGCACTCAGCTCAATGGGATGAGCCACCCGGAGGAGCTGCAGCCATAGTGCTGCTGCTTTACTTCCAACCTAGCACCTGTCCCTATCTCAGACAGACCCTCTGGGAGTGACTGAGGCAGAGTCCCCACTGCTTCAGCTCTTCCCAGCTCTCCTAGGTGGTTTCAGGTGAAATCCCACTAACTGCTGGTTTCCTCCCTTCCAGCACTTTTGCTCTGATTTGGAACCACATTCACTCCAGTGCCATTGCTGTGCAAACAAGTCACTGCTGCTCCCAGAAATGATGGTCAGGCTCATCCCTGCCTCTTGTGCTGCTCCCGAGCTGTGTAGTGGAGGGGATGAGCAGAAGCACCACATTGCACCGGATTGACCCAAGCCCATGAACTTGATGGCACTCAGCAGTTTGACAAGCAGCAGCAAGTCACTGTCCTCTCTGCAGCCACCCCAGCAGCTCGTTCCTGCTGGGCTTTGACGGGCAGCTCAGTGCTGCACAGGATGGGGCCAGGGAGGAGCTGTCAGCAAATTGAGAATGGGGTGATGGGGAGGACGGACTCCTGTTTTGAACAGCAGCAGCTTTGTTGCCTGTCAAACAGCAGCTGAGCAAACGTGGAACATGTGTTTGTCCATGGCCATGATGTGGGCCAGAGGAACCTGTTGGCTCTCCCCTGCTCTGGCACTGGCTGCAGGAAATGGCCTGTTTTGCCCCCATCCTCCCTTGAAAGGCAGGGCTGCTGCTGGCTTTGAGGATGTCTTTATAGATGATGACTGAAGCTTTCTTGTCTGAGCATGTCAGGAGGAGAGAAGCTGCCCAGAGGGAGATGCAAGTGGGACCCCTTGACTGTCCCAGGGCCCCAGCAGGACAGGAGCAGGGCTGGCTTGCTGCAGGCATGTTGCTTGTGGTCTTTCACAGGCTGTGGCTGTTTCCTGCAGCTATGTCAGGAGCAGGATCTTGCATTCAAAGCAGGATGTCCACATGGGCAGGGCAGCCTGCAGCAGGAGTGCTCAGTCCTAAGCAATAGGCTGACATCAAGCTCCTGACATGGAGGCTGTACTTGGATGAATGTGGAGTCACTCTGAGGTGGATGACATTGATCTGTCATAGGAAGAGACATAGGCCCACACCTGACTAGCAAATGAGCACATGTCACCACTAAAGAGAAATCACCTCTGTGTTCATCATAACATGCAACCCCAACCTCCCCATGGTCCTGAGAACAGGCTGTCAGCCCTCCTTGGGGTCATGCCTTCAGCATCCCTGTGAGCAGCCCATACATCCTTCTGCTCAGGCACAGTGAGGTACGTGCCAGTTTGTGCTATAACACATGCCTGGCCAAGAGAGAAGCGTATGGCTGTCAGCTGAACCTCCAAGGTATAAGATGAAGCCACCAAGGTACAAGCTGCCAGAAAACCGAAACCAAGCACAAACTGATCTACATCAAGCCCGTGCTTTACAACAACTTCACGAAACCATGAGACAGTGTCACCGGTCATAGAGAGGCCACGGTTTGAACACACACTCTGGTTGTGGGCTGCACAAGTTCATGGTCTGAGAGGAAACACATGCACACTCTTCATCTTTGAACACCAGGAGAATGAAAATAAAGCTTCTGCCAAACTGCCTGCCCTGACACCCCACCAGGCCCTACTTTATTAACCTGCTGATTTTGGTCCGAATCATCCTCTCCACCAAAGGCAGACAGAATAAAATCCTCTCCCACCTCACCCAGCTTCATTCAAGCCCCGTGTGCAAGCATGAGCCCTCTCCCCCATAGAGCCAGGCAAGTCTCCTCTGCAGTTCACACCATGTGTCCACAATTAGGCCTGGGTATTACCCCATGCCAAGCCGTGCAGAGCCATATTTAGGGTGTTAAAATTTCACTTCTCACCAATTATCTGAACTACCACTGATGTTATGCAGATGTTGGCCTTTAAACTCTCATTCCATATCTCTGGACAGAAAAGGTCAGAGTTAAGGTTAAGTCTGCGTTTGCCAGCTTTGTTTGCTCTGCCCGATGACAACGCTTCGCTGCTGGAGTACAATTGGTTTGTATTCAAAGCAGGAGAGCACATAAATTATTGTCTCTGGGAAGAGTTAAATATGTTTCTGGAACAGCCCGTAGATGTCCTAGTTGATTTAGTGCAATCCCATTGACAATTGGAGCACATGGGGCAGCATGGCAGGCTTGAAGGATCGTCATTCCTGCAAAATTTGTCAGGATGACCTCAGATCAGTGCATTTGTCTTTGGAAAAAGAGATAAACCAAATGCATACACAAATCCTTGAGCAAGGGGAGGGGGAACCCGAAGGCCTGCAGCATGGTGATGATTTGATCTATCTCCTCTGCACCGGTTCCTGGTGCCCTGCACTGGGGCAGCTGCTGTGTGTCCACACTGCATGGCTATGCTGGTCCTTCACTGTGGACCACTGGAGAGGGAAGAGCAGGAGAAAACACTGTGGGATTCAAGGCAGCATTGCTGGGCACTGTGTGAAAGAGCCGCTGCCTCCACCAGATGAGCCATTCTTGGACAAGCTCTTTCTTGTTACTGATGCTTCCAGATGGAAGCAAGAGGCAGGAAAGCTGACACACCACTCTCGGAGGGACATCTATGTGCCACCATCTTCTAGTTGCCAAATCCTTGCTCCCCTTTCTGCCTGTGTGCACCACAGAGATTAAAGGGATTCTGGGATGAGGAAACAGCAAGCGAGCCATAGATCTCTAGAAGCCTCTAACACACACATAGGTCTTTCAGCTGCTCAGTGTGTGCAGGCCATGGGGAGACAGGAAAAGTTTAGTTGCTAAGATTTACTTCAGCCCTCATTAATGTTGGCCTGGAATCCCTCAAAAGGGATCCAGGCTTGTCATGAGTCATGGAGCACAGCTAATCCTTCCCAAACCTGGGAGCAAGCGAAGCCTCACACCTGGTGGCACAAGACCCTTTCCAAAGCAGCAGCACATCATGAGGCATCCTTGCGGCTTGGCATCGCAGGGTCTGATCCCTCCTGGCTTGTCCTTTGCATGCTCTGTGCAAGCTACACAGCTCCCTGTGCTGCTGTCCTGTAGCGTGTCACAGCCTCTGAGCCATGCAGGGGGGTGTGGGACGGGGTGATGGGTTGTTTGAGGGGTTCACCTCTCCTCCAAGTGAATGGAGGGCAGTAAATCAGAGCACTGCACCTCCTGCCATACTTGCAGGGCTTTACAGCTACTGAAGTCTGCACATGGAGCAGGGACACCAGAGTAAACTCTGTCCCATAGAGACCTTACATATAAGAGATTCGACCATTTCTCATTAGACATTTGCTTTTCTCCTCTATTCCTCATGTTAAAACCCCAGCAGCATTATGAAGGCAGCATTACTGATGTATTCATATTCCTCTGCATCCTGCTGTCCCTCCGTGTCTCACAGACTGCAGTGATCAGGGTTGTGCTGTAGCCATATCCTGTGCTACCTGCAGCGGTCCCAGCAGTAGAGAGGCAATGTGGGGAATCCTAGATCCACACTTGGGATTTTGGCAAGCCCCACTCAAACAAAATAAATAGGCAGAAGACTCTTGTCGAATGGGAAGCCACCAGGCAACAGTGAGGGATTGCTGTTGTGGGAGTAAGTCATGAACTAAAGAATGCCCCACAAATTGACTGCCCTAGAAATGCTGAAAGGCACGAGAATTTATGGATGCAAAGACCCACAAAGTTTGCTTTTACTGGAGAATCATTCGAAAAACATGTTTAGAGATCCCATTGTTGGTTCCAACATAAAGCCAGCTTACAAATAAACCAGAAACGAGCCCTAAAACCAATACTGGTTCATCTGAAAAGAATGCAGGGACATGTAACAGAGCGCGCACTCCTCTCGTCAGAAAGGTGGCAGTGTTGCTTTGGAGTTGCTGGAGGAATAGTTACAGACAGATTCTTTTTCAAATGAACAGCAATGTACCATAATATACCAACACAATCTAAGGAATGACTTAATCTAATGAAATGTAAGATCAGAGCGATATGGAAACCACACCAAAGCCCTGGACCCAAGTTCTGTATAATTCAGCCAGACTAGGACACTTGTGTTTGCACACACACTCTTGGGTTTTCAACCAACTGCCAACTTTGTACTTGCTGAGAAAACAAAGTTTAAGTTGACCACCCAGCTATCTAAGAGATCCCGATAACACCACTCATGTCTACCATCAGGATCATAAATCTCTATTTCATTATCTACACTGCACAAGGAGGCAAAAACACACAGTGTGGGTGACATGCCAGCATGACTGCCCTGTCCGGTTTTACAGCATCCCGTACGGCACACGCAGCTGGGCTGTCTGAACATCCGCACAGGTGATATTCACTTCACCTCTGGGAAGTTCAGAGAAAGCCCCTCGAGAACATATCTTTGACGTGATCGTTAGTATTACAGGATGTTATGGTCATTGCAATTCCAAGATACCCACTCACAAACCCGGCATACTTACTATAAATAAAGCCAGTGAATAAAGGCACGAATATCCAGCAGAGGGTCTGGTTTAGAAGTGACCGTCCCATAGTTCACCTTCACTCACCTTCACTCACGCCGAGTGTCCTCTGAGAAGCCCCGTACTGGTGCTTCCCCTAACTTAGGAGACGGAGGCATATTTTGCTTGCAAAGCCTCCGAGAGTGGCAATCAATTGTGTGGCTCTGGTTTTATTTCTCTGATGATGTCACTTTAAATACTTTTCATGTTCCATTTGTTATTTTTACTTCTAAAAATGACGCATTTCTTCAAATTCATTTTTCTCCAATTAGTCACAACTTAATGGCCCAAAGGCAGCTGCCTGCATGGCAGAGGGGCTGTCGGGCCCGTCCCCACTGCGGCTCTCACAGACAGACCCACATGAGCACCTGGAGTATACAGACGGCGTTAGGTGCCTTGTTTATCCCAGATGCCCTTTTGGCTTCCTGCCCTAATCCTTTCGCAGCAGGGCCAGGGCAGGAGACCCGGGAGCCAGAGTTTTACCAGAATAAACCACAAACAGAAACCGGAGGAAATGAAAAAACAGGAGGAAAACAAGAAAAAAGAAAGCAATGGAAAGGCAACAGAGAGGAAGGAAGATGCATTCCTCCACTTGTGGAATCGCCTCTGTAAGAGCAAAGCCGTGACAGCTCTACGACCCCTTGAGTATTTTACTCACATGCTGCTTCCAAAACATTCAACGCAAACCCTGTGGGCACGGCTTGCAGAGAGAGAAGTTTTAAGAGAAATCTCAAGGTTTCCCCTACCTGATCTGAACTTGCTCCGAATCAGCAAGGAGTGCTCAGACCCCAGGAGTGTCATGGTGACTCGGGGACCAGCTCCAGACGCCCCTCACTTAAACCATTAACTTCCTCCAACAGGGAAAAGCCGACCAGACCACGGCTGGTGCTCAGGATTCATCCAGCTCTCCTGGCCTCTCGGGGTGCTTTTACAGCGGGTTGGCAAGAAGCAGCAAGTGGCTTTGCAAGAGTTGGTCCCATCCAAGCCCTGACCCTCCACAGACACCAACTGCTCCCCCTGTGCTGTGTTGAACTAATGAACGTGGAGCTGGCGGGAGCCTCCTCCCGCCCGGAGTTTACTACCAGCAGCCGGGTGTCCTGGCTGATGTCATCGTCTAGCGGGGAGCAGCGACTATCGGGAAGGGTCTCCGCAAAGACAGGACTTGGATATCTGATCCTAATTACTACCGGCCCCTACGCAGCCAATCAGGGCGCTCCCCGCTTTGGGAGCTGCTGGAAATATCAACACAGCGAGGGCTTAACTCTTTGCAGCGTGGAGGGATCCCAGTGGCCCTCACATGAAGGAAGGGCTGGGGTCAGGCCAAGAGTCCTGGGTGGTTGGGTGCAGGGCCTCCCGTGGGTACCGTGTTGGATGCCCTTCCCGACAGGGAGCCAGAGGATGTGGCTGCGGCTGCCCAGCAAATGTGCCCCTTGGCGCAGCGTTTGGGTGCTGATCACACAATCACAGCATCATTCGGGCTGAAGGGAGATCATCCAGTGCAACCCCCTGCCAAGGCGGGGCCACCCAGAGCAGGGCACACAGGAACGTGTCCAGGTGGGCTTGGGATGTCTCCGGAGAGGGAGACTGCACCCAGGGCTGCAGGGGTCCTGGGGAGCTGAACAGGGGTGCTCAGGGTGCGTTGTCTCTGCTTCCCTCCTGCCGGCAGGTGAGCCCAAGGCTGTGCTGCTCAGTGCACACCTTTGTCAACATGTGGCTGCATCTGTAGAACGCTTTTGAGCATCTGTAGGATGCTCCACTTGAGATGCTCACATACACTGGGGCTCAGGTGGCCTGTGCTGCAGGCACTCAAAAACGTCCTCGTGTTCTATAACACACACACAGACACTCAGGGCAATGCCACACAGAGGAGGCAGGGCTAAACCTTTACCTGCACTACAGATGAGCACAGTGGTCCCAAGCAGGCTGGGCACAGCCATGCGCTGGGCACAGCTGCCATGGAAGATGCTTCACCTTCCAGACATTCTCAGAGAAGAAAAACTTCTTGCAAACATGCAAAGTGAAGAGATACAGATCCTCTGAGGCTCCCCTTCCCCAAACCCATGTCTGGTTCACTTGAAGCAAGTGGGAGGCAGTGAACTGATGGCACCTTTTGCCTTGGAACGTAAGTGGTAGCAGTCAAGCTAAGTCAGGGGCAGGTCTCAGCTTCCCTGACACAGGGGTCTCACCTGGGAAGCTGCTAAATGATAAACACCCACCTGAAAACTGCCTCAGGCCTGGTTCGGGGATTTGTTGGGGTTTATGTTTGTTGGCTGTGGGGTTTTGTGCGTGTGTGTTCGGTGCTGGTGGTGGTTTTACTGTTTTTTATCCTGCGGGTTTGGGAAGTCCTCTGAAACATTCTGGCTTGGTGACAGGAATTTCAGGACTTCCAGATATGCTTCCAGACAGACTTCCACTTCAGATGGCCCATGTCACCAGAGACCTTAGAAACTCAGTGGCCCCAGAAGCTCTGATTCTGGAAGTGCCCTGGCAGTTATCAGTGCTGGTGGTCCTCACGTAGCCCATGATGTCCTGAGCCAAGCCCTCTACTTGTCTTGGGCTGGATGTGATTTCCTGGTCATGCTACATATGGTGCAGTGGATATTCCTAACATCTGGCCAAAGACCTGCTCAGGTATCCCTGCTCCCTTTGGAACCTGCTGGTTCCTAATGTCTCCTCCACTGTGCATTAGCTGGACCTGCCTGAGGAGGCTCTGTTGATGCAGCACCTCATGCTGATCTCACCCTTGGTCTGTCCCTCCACCCCTTCAGGACCATTTGCAGAGGTGATGGATGTTTCCCTGGTTCCACACCAGCCACAGCAATGCACGTCATCCAGCAGCCCAGAGGAAGGGCGTCCAGGACTTTTTCACTCCAGTGCTGCCTCTTCCCGTGGAAATGAGCTCTGCTTTCTCAGCCCCTCTTGCTGCTCCCGGAATGGTTCATGTCCGTAACCTTTTCTGTCTGCAAGTGTCCATCTCCAGCCTTTGGAGTTCAGTGGAAGAGGAGTGGAGCGCAAGGGAGGCACTGTACGGTGTGATCCTGCTTGGGGTGGATCTCCCTGTGGCAGAAAAGGCCTTCAGCAGAGATGGCTTGGATGAACTACCCAAGGTGCACAGCACCTAGTCTGATTCCCCCCGGGACTGACCCTCTTCCCCTTCAGCACTATCTGCAGGTGTGAAGGATGGACACAGGAGCTCCAGGTCTGGTACCAAATGCTTGAGGAGGCTGGCAGGACAGGCCTGGTCCCAGCTGCAGGGCGCTGCTGGATGGGATTCTCCCATCACCTCCACCACCAGCACATTTTCCCTGCTGACACCTGTACACAGAAAAGGAGTTGTCACAAGACCCCACATGGGGGATGTAGGCAGTGCAGGAGCCTTTTGGAACCCTGAAGTTCTTGAGTATTGCAGTCTTCCCTCTTTCATGGAGATGTGTTCCCTGCCTGAATGATAAATGAAGACAAAGGACTTTTTTCCCCTCAACTGAATGATTTTTCCCCTTAACTATAATGATTGGTGGGTGAGACGGATAAAGGCTCTGTCCAGGGCTCATAATTCTTCCAAGCACTCTGGAGGTGCCTCTAAAGCAGTGAATAAATCAGAACCAGCATTTTTTCACATGGTCCCACACAAATGCAGGGAGAACTCAGAGCTGTTCCAAGGCAGGAAGCAAAGGATTGATATGACTGAGGCTGAGATGAGTCAAAATCAGGAAGACACAAGAAAAGGGAGTAGAAAAGGTGAACAAGGATCAGCAAGAAAAACCAGCAAGCACTATATTTACTTATTTTATTTCTTTAGGTGGGGTAGAGGCTACAAAAGGCACAGCTGAAAAAGTGAACCGTTGAGTAAAATCCCAGCACATTCAAGATACTGGGATGTGGCCTGCCTCAGCTGGGGAGGATGGCCGGAGAGCAGCAGATGGAGCCCATTAAACTTAAACAGGGGAGATTCAGGTTAGCTCTAAGGCAGAAGCTCTTCCCTGTGAGGGTGCTGAGGCGCTGGCACAGGGTGCCCAGAGAAGCTGTGGCTGCCCCATCCCTGGCAGTGTTCAAGGGCAGGTTGGACACAGGGGCTTGGAGCAAGCTGCTCTAGTGGAAGGTGTCCCTGCCTGTGGCAGGGGCTGGAGCTGGAGGAGCTTTAAGACATTGTACTGGTCACTCTGGCAGCCAGTCACTAGCCATTGGACTGCCATTTCTCAAGTTTGAAGTGACCCCAGTTTCTCTTCCTTAAGGGGTAATTTCTAAGGCTGGGCTCTTGGCTGTGGCAATTCATGGACTGGTCATTTCTCTTCCCTGCTCTGTGCATTATTTACATGTACAGATGTTGAATCTCATCTGATGTTTCATCTTTCAGGCATTCAGCATGGAGAGAGCATTCTGCAACTGCTTGCAGGAAGATTTACTTCTAATTGCTTTAGTCATTTTGAATCATCAGTCCTTTTCCCTAACATTTCTGCTAAGGAGCCTTCTCCCAGCAATTGGTGGGCACGGTAACCCTCACACATAGAATTCCTCCATATAGCTGCTAAATCCATTCAACTTATTTGCAAACTGGAATGAACATTTCCTCATTTATAGTTTCTTGGGTCTTCACTGGAGCCTTTTGTAAAAACGAGCATCAGATTCACCTCTCTTCCCAGCCATGGCAGGTGGGATGTTGGGTCTCACTCTGTGCTTAGCTCAGATGTATGCCTTTGCATATTGCAGAGTTCTGCAGCCCTCTGGGACTACCAGCTCCCAGAGATTTGTTCCTACTCGTTTGATGGATTTCTTCTACAATCACTTCACCAGCTCCTTAATCACATTTATAGGAAGGACAGACCCCAGCATACTACTGGCCTTGAAGCTGTTACTGGTCGCCATCCTTTCTACCTCTTGCTCTTCTACTGGTGCTTGCAATGGCTGCTCCTCTCTCCTTGAGATTGTTTTAGATAGCATGCCAGTTGTTTCCCAAATGAGGGTGATGCTCTTCCCTTACCAAGCCAGGTAAGTAAGCTAAGTTGCACAGGTGCTTAGGGGAGAGAAGCAAGCCAGTTCATGAGCTCTGCCCTGCTTAGGTTCCTGCTGTTAGTTGGCCTCAGGCTTCTGAGATGGTGAACATTCAAAGTCCCGTAATGTTGGTTCCAGGACCTGCTCTTAGAAATCTTTTCTCCCCTCTCAAGAACTGAACAGCCACAGACTATGCCCTGTAAAGCCATGCCCTGCCAGAGGCTGAGAATGCAGAAGAGATGAGATTTTCTTCTCCCTCCCTCTCTCCCTCCATCCCTCCCTCTCTCCCTTTTTTGCTCCATTCCTCTTTCCCTCCCTTCCTCTCTGGCTCTGTCTCTGCTTGCCTCCTCCAGGGAATATCAGTATCCAGGCCTTGCAAGTGCTCAGTTCACTGTCCGAGCTTGTTTCTTAGAAGGTGACCTCAAAGAAACGAGTCATCTCCACAAATGACTCAACTGCTGAATTCACAGGCCAGAGCTGGTGTTTCCCTGTGCTGGTCATTATGTGAGAGTCAGCCCTGACCACGTCTGGTCTTGATGTCCTCAAGAAAAGGAAGCAGAGGTAATTGTCACCCATAAACCTGAGAATAGAGGCAAGGAGGACAGGCACTGAGATCACACCACAGATGCTGAGAGTTCACACTGCCCAGCCCTTGCATGCTTTGGACATGTATTGTGCTGTACCACACTCACTGTCCTGCTCTGGAAAGGGCAAGCATCACCACCAGTTACTGCCTTTCGCTGGAA